TATTACAGAACTTGCAAATGTATTTAGAGAGGAAAAAAATGAAAATTTGGATGAAATGGATGATAGCGTTGAAACAACCGTTATTAGTGCTAGTACTTCATTAAAAAATTTAGAAAATATTCGTACATTTTTACTTCAACAAGAAGGGGCAGAAAAAAAATTAAGATTAGTAAATAGTCTTGAAAAATTCGTTAAAAAAAAAAAAATTAGTTTAATGCAACAGACTTATGCAAATGAGTATTTTAATTAGGAATAATATCTGTATATATCGATATATATAAAATATAATAAAATCTAATTTTTTTTTTGTACCTCTTTAAATGCACACTCTCTTTAAATGCACACTTATGGTCAGTCCCAAGGGGTGTGCATTTAGGGAGGGTTCTCTGTAATACTATTTATAAAATTTGATTATATAAATTTGATTTTTAATTTTATACATAATATATACAATATATTAAATTTATTGTATAAATTCTATTTTGAAAAATTTAATAAGATCTTATATATGAATTAAGATTTATTTTTATTTTAACAAAAATAAATCTAATATTAAACATATATTTGAGATTATAAAATATAAAATAAAATGAATTATTCAATAGTTATTTATATTAAACTTTAAATTTAAGTTCAAAATCAAAATTAATATATATTGTATATACATAGTTGTTATTATTACAATAATATTTTTTTATATATTATTATTATTTTTAATTTTATCTAATTTAATTTTTTTTTATTATAAAAATTATAAAAATTAATATAATTATGTTTACTTTATATATACAATATATATTAATATTAATATTATATTGTTTTTTTGTTTTTTTTTACTTTTTTAAAATTATAATTAAATTAATAACTACAATTTTTTTGAATTTTTTATTAAAATATTTTTTTAAAAAAAATAATTACATATATTACATATACTGTATATGTTATTAATAAAAAATTTGATTATATATTACATTAAATTAAAAACTTAAGAATATTTTTAAATAACTATTTTTAATAAATAAATTTAACAAAACATTTGTTTCAAAAATTCTAACTGTTTTAAAAATATATTCAAATTTTACATTTTATCAATATTATTATTAATTGTAATACCTAAGTGTCATTATAATCATTCTTCAATGAAATGCTAAAAACAACTTTAAATTATATATCAACCTTATCTAAAAAAATAAATTTTTATATGGTTATCTTTTACATTACACTTACTATATGTTACATGTTCTAAAGAAAGCTATTACAATTACAGTATAAAAGCAAACACTGTTGACAAATTACAATGGAAATCACCCTTTCCAGGACTGAGAATGAATATTCTACTTAGTCATGAAAGTATATAAGACTCTTCTCGGGACTCGGTAGCAAGCTTTCCATCTGTCTACAATATACGTATCAAAAAAAAATACATTTGCCTTAAAAGTTTTTTGTAAACAGACAGAGACCGATCTTTAATCAAATAAAAGTAAAAATAAAAGTTTTAACTTGTGATTGCTTAATTCTTGTAGATCATCCACAATTTTGTATCTTACAAATTTTGATCAAATGGTAGCACTTTTCTACAATTTTTGCTCCCACATAAGCATTTTTTTCTTTCTCCTGTGTTATGTTCCTCCACCTCTGTAGGACTTTCGCTTTGAAATTGTCCACCAGCATAATCAAATGTTAATTCTTCTCCCGCATCAATATCGCAATTGGCAAACAGCGCAGCAACGGGAATTAAGGAATTAATGCGAACTAGATAAATCCAAAGATTCGGTGAACAGGAGTGATTTATGTATCTTCCGACATTACCAATATGAGTTGGATCTATGTTCTAATCGCATTTTATAAACAAGAAGAAGGTTGACAAGGAATCAATAGTTAATCTCAAAATTTATTCTTTCGTAAACAATTCCACTTACGGTTCGAAGGATTCGATCTTGTCTATAAAAAAAAAAGAATTGAGCGCTTTAACTTGACACGTCATTCGCGCGTTACTATTTTATTCTTTATATATACTCACACATGTTCTCTTAAACATAGGATATAGTTTTGTGCTGTATCACATTCAATTGTTTCGTCTTTCACATTCATTTCCCGCCATCTTCGTTGAGCTTCTTCAGTTTTTATAATTTCACCAGCATACTCGCACACAAATTCCCCTTTATGCACCTTCTGTAAGGCACGTACACCCCATCCACGCCCGTTTGTAGTCTTGAATATCTGAAGGGGCATTTGAATACCATGCTGCACAATACGATTAAGACATAAAGATGGTGCGCAAGTGCACGAAGAGTTGCACTCATAAAGTGATGGTGTGATGTTTGTCAATGAAGATGAGTTAGAAGGTAGGAAGTCAATGTTTAGGCCTCGACGATTTGTATTATTATAAAAAAATCCTATTCACAAACGTGGAAATTAATAATAATATAATTTGAAATCCACTTTTGCAGTACACTACGTACCATGTGCGGATTTACACCCACAATCTTCCGATACACAATTGTCTTTACAATCACATCCATCATAGTAGGAACCATTTAACGGCTCATTTGTCACTAACCCATTGGACAACTTGACCACGCAATGTACATCATACTGAAATGACTTTGACTGTTATATTTTATAATCCAAGTAAAAACTATCGTGTGGTAAACAAGATGAAATGAACCTTCCGATGCAATTTTTTTAATTCTTCCAATTCCTTGATGTCATCATAGACCAGACTTATAGGGCGTGATTCAAGACCATCTGATATATCTTCAATCATGGATTTATTCATTCTGAAAAATATTACCAAACTTAGGCCCAAGACACCGATGCATTATGTAATCTGAAAAACATTATACCTATTATCAGTTATTCGTCTTGAGTTGTGTACAGTATTTTACCACCAATGTTAATTTTTTTTTTCCTTATATGTTTTTAAACATAAAATTGTAATGTCAAAATTATAACGTGATTATTGTAAATTATTACTTGTCGGAACGAGGCATTGTGCTACCAAACTTCAACGCGGTTACACTTAAATCTATCATTCTATGATTGGTTAGATAAAAGTAAATGTCAGAAGTATCTTTAAAATCAATCTTGGAAAGATGGCACAAATCTTCATGCCATCTGCTGGACCTTCGTTTTTTAAACGAACATAATGATCGAAGGATTATTCCATCTACTTGTATTCCTTACGATGAATTAGACAAACGTCAATTTGAACTTCCACATAAATCTTTACCCTTTTCCGTCCTGGAACCTCGAGGTAACGAAGGAATTGCAAAGACGTTACTCATAGATCGTGGATGGAATGTTCAATGGGTTTTTATAGAAAGTGAAGAATTGTGGAAGACTGGGAGAGAACTTGGGATTGTTGAAGAAGATGAAGGTTCGAAACTTTGTGAACCGAAAAGGAAATGGATATTATTTCAACCCTGCCCTTTTCTCGTCAATACAATAAATTTGATTGAAGAATCCCTAAGAAATGCTAATCGAGAAAATATGACATTTAAATGTTTAGATATTGCATGTGGTAGTGGAAGAGATGTATCATGGCTTTGTCTGCGTCAATCTGTAGAGTGGCGTGTCACCGCTATGGACGCTATGGACGGGGCCATTAGTAGAACAAGACAATTAGCAGAAGGTCTAGGTGTTCTGCACAAGATTCAAACCATACATGCAAAGATATTGAGCGACGGGACGCTTAAATTATTATCATCGAGTATTGAAGACACCGACGAAAATAAATCATTAATGTTAAGCTCAAATCTTGATTTTCCAACTGAGGGTTATGATCTAATCCTTTGTGTTCGTTTTTTGTGTCGGGGATTTTTTGGCACCATGGAAAAAATGGTGAAATCTGGTGGTTTCTTATTGATTAGTACATTTGTCGATGATAAATTACACGCATATGATAAACCGAAAGGGGAATCACATCGATTGAAACCTGGGGAGTTGGAAAAAACATTCCACGAAAATTTCGAAATATTGCAAGATAAGATAGAATTGATGGATGACGGGAGACCGGTCAATTCATTCCTTGCAAGAAAAAGATAGTAGATATTCTTTGTTCTTAATATACAGTTTAATAATGACGGGAGTTGAGTTTGAACTTAAATTATAGAATATAATAATAATATTTATTCATAGAAATATTTTAAAATTAAATTATAATGTAATCACATTAATAGTATAAATGTTATTTTCTTTTTTTTAATCGAAAATATAATGAAAATATATTGCTAATAACAATCGAAATACAAAAACAACGTAAAAAGAGATATGTTAAATTTTGTCAAAAGCAATTCTGTTAATTTATTCACTAAGATCATATTAGCCATCTCAGAGTATTTTCAAGAACTAGTTCTCGGAATAAGTTATTTCTTTTGTAGTTGTATGATTATATATATATATATATATTCTTCTATCTCATTTAAAAATTGAATTTTTTTTAATAATAGTCAACATTAGCTACTCCTTTCACTATCTCAATTATGCATTATTATAGAGGCAAAATACTAAAAAACAATGTAGCGCGTTCAGCGTTCAACAAAATAATGAATAATATATACCTAAGCAAAGATATCATCAACATCACTTTCGGCCTTAGATATTCTAATATCGTCATAATTATGCCCGAATTGTTCAATTCCTGTTATGTTCATTTCCTGTTCCATTTCAAAATCTACAGCGAATCGTGCGCGTTTCGTTGGTGATGGCGAATTATCCTTTGATATATTTTTTTGACTTCCACTTTCATCTTCTCCCTCCTCATCCCACTTCGTTTTGACCCCCAAGAATCCCATACTTGTCTGAGATTGTATTGGTTCATTATCAAATTCCGATTTCGACTTGGCACCATCCAGATCATTATTGCTATCATTAATAAACGACTGTGATATTGTATTAAGGGTATTATCGCCTTCTTTTGTAAGCTTCATGAAAGTGTTTGCTAAAGATTCAATATATGGTTGGGTGAATACAATCCAATTCTCCCATACGTTGAGGATTGTTGTGATTTGCCGCTGTGACGGGTTTATGTGATTAAATTAAGTTCGTTTCCGAAGGGACGATAATTAGATTTAAAAGAAAGTCAAGTTTCACGAAAATACGGTGAGAAAAACAATGTTTGCAGCAAGTCGACAAATTAAGGAATTTTTTTGTTGAAATAAATAACACTACTATTAAAACAAATAAGATCTCAAAGATTCGTGTCAAAATCCTTGATATATCTATTCGTACACTTACCCTAAATGTCTCAGCTTTCAGTCTCGCCGCGATAGACCTGTACACTTCGTTTAGATGTTCAAATATTTCCGGTAACCTACCCTCAAATCTAGATTTTAAACGATACCTGATAAGTTCAACATAATACAAAAATTTAAAACCTTTGTGTCACAAGAGGATTTCCAAACTAAACTTGCCCAGTTCTAAATTTCCATGCATTAGGAATAGAAACACTACTATTGTGTAATATATCAGAAACCAAATATAATCTTGCAACCTTTGTTGCTATGGGCGTTTCCTTGATCGCAAGTGCTTTGCAAATTATATCCACTATCTGAGAAAATTCGAGAATTAGTAGGAACACATATAACACATACGCCATTAGTCAATTAATATTTTAAATAAAAACCTCATCGGCCGCGTCAGAATGATCGATAGCAAATGCCATGGCTTTTGCAATTAGGCCTCGTTCGAAAGTTAATTTTCTCAACATTACTTCCAGTCGATGTTTAGCTTTAGGACCGAGAGTACCTTTTGGAATGCGTTCTCTTTCTCGCTCATCATCCTCATCTGAATCCAATATATCATCTGCAGCCTATTACCGTTCCCAAAAAATGATTATAAACCTAGGAAAATCAAAATTCTTTGAAGGAATTTGTCATACTAACGTCTTCATCAAAAGGTATCTCCGGAGGAACCCATATTGGACCCTCATCAAACATATGAAAAGCTTCGGTGCGCCACTTGTTTTTCGGATCGCCCTGAAGGACCGAGTATAACCTCCATCGATAATACACGTGCTCTACGGACTATTTTACATGAACAAATGCTAAATAATAATATCAGATTCAAGTCAAAGTCGATATTAAATTATCCAACTTACATCATTCTGGAATAAAAACGTAAACTTTGAATTATTCCATTCGCGATCCATTATTATCGCCTAAAAAGTATTATAAGCAAACTTGTTAAAATTCATTATTATTTAAAATATTTTAACCTTAATAGAAAACTTGGTAAAATGATGTTTCTAACCTCAAATGGTGGTCCATATTTAACAACTCGTTCCACCATACGGTGTATTATTTTTACAATTTCTTGATTTTCGGGACGTGCAACCTGAACCTCGAGACGGGGTCCTTTTTGCACAACCTATAATATCATTCGTCAAGAATTCAATAGGATGAATGTAATTAATTGTTTTAAAATATACTAAGCTGCTTACCGAAGATGATCCCGGAGGAGGTACGTTCGCATATGCTAATAATTCGATAAATAATATTAAATAAAATCAAAGTATTTCTGATGGTAAGAAATTCTGAAACCCACTGTTTGTATGAACCATCTGCGCATTAAAAGGAAGTCCACTCGGTGGTGGTCTGCCACTTTCATTCAGAACTAAAATATGTAAAATATTCAATACCTAATTTTCACTAAATATTATTATTATCTTTATTATCTGAAAAAGAAGACATACCATATATGGGTTGAGGTGGAATTGGAACGGCCTTACCCCAACCAACTCGCATGACATAACCAAGCAACTCCTTTCCATCCATATTCTTTAAAGCCAATGCCGCACATTCACGATCCATAAAACTAACAAATCCGCAATTACGATTTCTGTCCTTCTCCTCTTGCGTACGTGGCCACATGATTTTAACGCTAGCTATAGGACCGTACTTTGCAAACTCCTTACACAGCATTTCCTCATTTACCTAATGACAAGAGAGTTGAATAAGAAATGTCATGTTGGAATGATGTAGATAAGTTTCATGGATTTTAACTCACTTCAGGACTTATATTTCCAACATATAAATTAGTCGTATTAGGGTCACCAGTGTCATGAGAACCAGGTCGGTCCTCGAAAGCTGTATACAAGTATTGATTTAAACTTTATCCAAATAAAAATCAATACTTTACACATAAGACTAACCTGCCTTGACTGTGAGAGAGGTAGGTAAGAATTCATCATTACTACCAGTCTCTAAATTACCCCGTGAGGTTAATATGAATAAGATGAATGATAAAGGTGATTAATAAAGATGATCCGCCATAATTCCTCACTTGGGAAATCTAACATAGAAACACACCTGACAACACCCCTGCACCAGCCAACTTTGCATGTTTTTGCCTAAGACGATCTTCTCTCTCCTCTTGTTCACTAATCATATTAAATAGTTAAGAAAATCAAAATATTATTTTTAAAACTCAATAAATGGTATGATCATTACCGTTTGATTTCCTCGAGAAATGCATCAAGATTACGCTTCCCTTTTGCTTTTTCCTCTTTTTTTTCATCATCCTATTATACAATTCAGCCAATATGTAATTATAGGAACAATTCTGTCTATTTCTAATCTGTATCTACATATTCACCTCATCATCTATATCTTCCTCTGCTTCTCCAGGTTTTGATTCTGGTTGGGCTTGTTTAGACGCAGGAATGAAAGGCTGAGGTTTATAAATTTTAGGCGGTGCAATAGACAAATTTGTTTCTTTTTTGGCGTTTACCGCATCGTGATCGAATAAAACTATGATATAATAAAGAAACAAATCTTCAGAGATAGAATTCTTGAAAAGTCTACCGCACCAAATACTTTATGAAACTGTTGAGCTTACGTTTCGGTACAATGGTTTCACCCTTGACAAATGTTTTTCCTGTCCCCTCCTCCTTCTCAAAAGATGCTACAAATTCGGCATATACCTTTGCCGCTTCTTCGGACTCTTGCTGTGATGTTAAATAAACTCTGTAAAAATGACTTCAGCACCTATAAACCAAAAAAAAAACTAGTCAATCATTACCTTTTTCTTTAATTCTAACTCTTCCTTATGTTTTTGGAAGGGTGTTTTTTTGTGTGTTCCAATGCTAAAAGCTTGTAGTTTTGTCTTCGTAAGGGTCTTCGAAAGGAATCGACATTATAAATTAGATACTGAAAATCTCGGATCTTATGAATATGCTAAAAATACCTTCGCAGAACCAGGTTTCGTTGAGTTTATGCCCCAAGGAAGTTTCTTTTCGTCGGGCATGTTGATAAAATGTAACGTTAAGGAGCATTCATAAAAAACCTCTCATTTTACCTTTAATGTAAACGACCAATAAAAAACAACGTTTATATTCACGTGAACATATTATTTAGGGGCAACATCCATTTTAAGTATTTAATTTTAATTAATTTAAGATTTAAACAAAATACAATTTTATATAATTAAAAATATAAAGTGAAAAAAAATTTTTTTTTTTTTAATATAATGACAGAATTGTTATTTAATCAATAAAGTCTTGTATTTTATACTTAAAAAAAAATCTTTTTTTCTTGTTAATTTAAAAAATTTATATTTTTTATAATTTTTATTAAAAGAATAATTAATATTTATATATTTAATATTAAGATAAATATAGGACTTTTAATGATACTACTTTAATATTACTTTGATATTACTTTGATATTACTTTTATATAAATAGATTACAACTTATATATTATTTCAATACTATTTTAATATTAATTTAATATTTTTTGAAACCCTAGATTAAGAATAAGTTTTTAAATTATTTAGCATATAAAATTTTATAACCAGTTATATTCTTTTTAAAAAGACATAATTATTTATTTATTATTTTAATAGCGATATAATTTAAAAAACACTTGAATTACATGGTTTAAATTATAAAAAAATTTCATAAACAATTTTTTTTTAATAATAAAAAATATTTGAATTATATCTTTATCTTTAATTTAAAAACTTATCTATATTCTATATATATAAATATAAATATATTATATTATCAATTTATTATTAATTACAATAAATATATTTTAATTTTTAATTTTTTTAAAAAAAACAAAGAGTTTTATAATTATTTATATTAAAAATAAGAAAATAAGAAAAAAAAATAAAAATAAAGTTATAAAATATAATTATTTATATATTTTTTTAAATATATAATATCAAATAATATATAGTGTATAACA